TAATAATATAAAAAATAAAAAAATTTATATTAAAAGAACAAAAATATACAGAATATACATAGAAAGATAATTGTATATGAAGAAATATTTTATCCTTTTCAATGTAATTCTTTTCTATTTTAAAATAAAATAATTAATAAAAAATATAAACAATTAGTCACACAAATATATTTACTAGTATATATGTAAAATTAATTATACTTACTTAATATGTATTATAACAAAATTTATGATTAATTATTAATTTTTTTTACATATTATATAATATTATTTAATATTTTACACAACTTAAGAATTTAAATTATAATTGATACATAATTATTATCTCTAAGTTATACTTAAAAAAAATATTAAAATTGTTATGTATAAAACTTTAAACTATACAATGTTAAAAATTGGAAACAATTATTTAGTTATGAGTATTTTAAAAAAATTTATAAAAAAATATCATATTATTATTTTTTAACTTTATATATTTAAATTAATTATATCAATATAGTCTTTAACTAATTATAATAAATATGTGAATGCATGTATTATAATAATTTTTTTATTTTATATTAAAATTAATAAAGATTTAGGTTAATATTAATATACCAAAAGTTACTTATATTATAAACTCATTTAAGTATGAAAGTTTTTTAAAAAATTATATTATAATAATAATTATTTATATTTTTATATTCTTAATTAAAATTTTAATTATTTATTATCACTTATTATAATAATTTTAATAATGTGTATACTATTAAATTTTACAAAAGTTATGATTATTCTTAAGTTAAATAATTTTATAAACATATCTAGAATATTAGTTATGACAAAATTAATGGGTAATACGATAAATTTATATTTTTTTATAATTTTTTTTATTTTAGAGTGAAATGACAAATTTAAATTTTTTTATATTTTTAAATTTTATTTTTTAACTTATTTTTTAATTAAATATTCAAATATGATAAATTTTTTTGTGTATTTATCAACTATGTATTTTTAATAATAGATTGATATTATACATTTTATTCTATTACAAGAAAATATTTTTTTTAAAATTACAAATTTCAAATATAAATATTACTATAAAAAAATGTTGAGAACCAATAATAAAGTAATTAGTTTGTTAATATAATTAAACATTATGTTATAATTTTATATTTTAATCTTAAATTAAATAAATTATATATTAATATTTTAATTTTTATGTTATAAGTTTATTTTGAACTCAACTAGTGTTTTATTTAACTATATTTATATTATTTGATAAAATTATTAAATAATTAGTATTAAAAAAATTTATTATCTTTGAAATTACAAATATATATATATAAGTTTAATTTATTTGAAAATTCAATCAAATAATTAATTATATAAATAAAAAAATTAAATATTTATTTTTATGTGATAATTTTTTAATAAATAACAGCAATAGTTTGAAGTTATTTTCATAAATTTTAAAAAATAATTATTTTTAAACTAACTTAACTAATAAAAAAAATATAAATACTGATATTAACGGGACGGAAGGATATAACAAGATAAAAGTTAAGAAGCAAATCAGTATTTGAGTCAGTTTGACAATTAGCTCTTCTTGATTGGTCAAACCTACTTCTAGCGTTAATTAAATATTAATAAATTTTGTTAATTTACATTTTATAAATAAATTTAAATATTTAAAAACAATAATTTATAATTAAAAATATAATAAATATTTTTAAATTATTATTAATTATTTAAATAAAAATATTAATATTAACAGTTGTGAATATTAATTAAAATAATAAATATTCCTTAACTTAGAAGGATGAAAGGGCATCGAAATGTGCAAAGAGTTAAGAGAGACCGTATACGGAAGAGGACCATACGGCCTGTCCGACACACCCACGGATAGCACCCACCTGTGGTCCCCACACAACCCTACTCACTGGGACCCACCCATGTCCGATTGTTTCTGTTGCTCTATTTCCTTGTTCCTGTCATCTCTTCTTCTTAACCAAACATTTTACCCTTTCTTGCTCCTTAAACCCAACAACCTGGGACCAACCCTTTTTACTGTCCATCCATTCTCAATATCTTACTAATAGTTTTTTCTTATTCCAAATTTAAACATTCATATTTTTAAGTTTTTAATTAGGTAATTGACAAATTCTTTAATCTTTTGTACTATTTACTATTTATTAATTAAGATTCAAATTATTATATAACATTTTTCAATTAAAATAAAATCTTACTTTTGAGAGATATAGTAATAAATAGTGTCGCACGACAATTAATAAAAACACAGTTGACATTCTTTATAAAATTATTATAGTTTTTTATTATAAAAATATCAACATCGCAAATAATTAAGTACATAATTTAGGATTGTTGGTTTGATAATTGAAGAGGCGTACTCTTTGTCTTCACTATTTATGGCTCCAAACCTAATTAGCCATTTATCATCAGTAATCTTAATTAATTCCCTAAATATTTTAGAAAGTTTTATAAAATTTATTTCGCTTTCTAAAAATGAATTTATAAGTTTTTTAAAATATTTTTAATACTTTGATTGTTTAGCGATATTCAGATATGAAATTAGGTATTCACTTAACCTAGGTTAAGTTAAGTCAGATCATTGAGCGATAAAATTCTATCTCTCTCTCTCTCTCTCTCTCTTAAGAGGGTAACATTATTAAGAATTCAAATTCAATGTCCCTGATTTACTAATCTACACACTCAATAATTTTAATTAATTTTATTGAGATAAATTCTTTATTTTTTTTAAGTTTAAAAATAAAATTTAGGACATAAATTCAGGGACAGAATTAAATCCCTCTTTCCCAGATATTTTAAAATTTGCTTTATTTTACACATAATTTTAAGGAAAAAATGTAACCACCTTTTCAATAATTTTTTTATATTTGATCACTTTAATTAAAATTATTTAATTATATCACCATAAGTTTTTAATATAACAAAAATTATTAAATAAATATGTAATTAAAATATTTATTCAAATATACTCTTCATATTAATTAAAAGAAATCTCAATTAATTTTAAAGGACTTGGAAGTAAAACAAAGTGTTAAATATGATAAGTTATAAGTTTAAACTCCTCCTGCGAGTACTGTTTTCTCCTAAAAAGTTTGTAAAAAAAAAAAGTCGATTGACACGGTACATTTAATTAAATTATCATGAATATTATTATATTTAGAAATTTTATCGATAAGTATTTTATTTTAAAGTATTTATTAAAAAAATAACAATTATTATGTATGTAAATTAACTGGTATGATGTTCTTTAACTTAATTTGTAATTTATAATTGAAGTCTCAATAAATTTGACTGTATTAAATATTAAAAGATATTTTTATGGTCTACAGAAGTGGTACTCAACTTAAAAATATTTAACATATATTTATAGTAATTTTTTAATTATTAAAAAAATTTAAATATTTTTATCTCTGAAAATATATTATATTTTGATTTTGATCTTTGTTAAATTATTTTTTTACTTATATTTTATAGAATTATTTATTTTAGTCTCCCACTTATCTGTTTATACGAAGCAGCAATATGTGACACAGACATTGACACGACAACATGTCATCATTTAACAGTGCTTTAGAATCACAATCAACCAAACAAATTAAGTAGGTGTATTAAATTCAAATTCTATTTCTCGTTAATTGTTACGAAGTTAAAAATGTTAAATAATAAAAGGCACACATATAAAAGTAATAATAAATACTCTTAAAATTGTGTAAAATTTTGTATATTAAAAAATATTTTTTAAAACTTCTTATAAAAAATTTTAGAAGTATAATATTACAAAACAAAGCTAACATGAAACTTATTGAGTGTCTCTACATAAAAAAATCAGCTATATTTTTTACTAATAATATTTTTAACATGTTAAATGTCACCAAATAATAATTAATATATAACAATTTTTTATTAAAAGTTACAAGATATCACGTGATTTAGTGTATTAATTTTTTATTCTGTATGTGAAAAAAAAAAACTTTAACATGTATCTTAAATTCATTGTTCTTGTATTGATGAATACTTGTGTTTTTCATAACTGAAGTGTTCTTACAATATTCTAATTCTTTACATTTGGTTGCTGTACTAATGAAATTGTAAGAGCGATTTGTCCACATTTTGAAGGACTATTGGATTAACGAGAAATTAGGAATGAATATTTTGAAGCGTATCGTAAAGTTAACAATGTTTTGTATATTTGTTGTGATGCGTAGGAACCACCACATGATGGGTGGGGAGAGAGGGTTGGTTGGGTGGCAAGAAAAATAATGAAAGAGAAAAGTGGTGGTAAGGGAATGGCAACTGTGGAGAATATAGGATAAAGAGAAGGGTAAAAATGGGAAAATAAATGGGTAGCGGTCATTGTCACGCAGACCCGGTTTGTCTCCTCAGAAGTGGATCTTCGCACGTTACGAATACCAACGTAAAGGGACTTATGTGTCCAAGCCAACACCTACCCCTCTCTCTCTCTTCCATATGCTTTCGCTCCTCACCACTCGAACCCCAATTCTCATCCCCAACACCGAACCACAGTAACTACTATACTACCTACTATGCAACTCTTCTATTTTCACTATCTCTGTTACTTTTTTTTTTAATTTTATTCCTTTTATTTTCATTTTTATCTTATCATAAATTACATTTTTATATTTTTTATTTCTTTCCTTTTTTTCTTTACCCACATCGTACCGTAGCAGAATTCAGTAATATATTTTTAATAATTTTTATTATTAGTTAACATTTATTAAAAATTGTAAAATTTATTAGATTAAAAGTAAGACATGGACTATGTTTTAATTCTCAATAAATTTTAATTAATAAAAAATATATTAAAAAATGTGTCAGTGTCTTAACATTTCTTAAAAACAAAGTGTTTGAGAGAGATGTGAACGTGTAATTATTCACCTACTATAATCTATAACTATTACACACACACTCTCTCTCTTTCACTTGGTGCAGGTACTTGATTGGAAGTTGGAAATCAACAAAACTTATCTCTCTCTCTCTTTCTTTCTGCGTCTGTGGTACTTGTTAAAAATTTGTTCTTTTCATAGAAACCCGTAAAGGGTTGTAAGTCTTCTCCATGGTTCTGGTTTTCTTCGTCTTGTTTTCAGCTTCTTTGTTTCTTTAAGACAAAGAGGGACCAAATGATGGCAAAAGTTTATAATGTAGTTTGTTCACTGAATATTTAAGACATGAAAAACAAAATTTTCACATTTGGGTATGTTGCAAATTGCTGCATTCTATAAAACTCTAGGCTAATTATTGGATCTGCATTTGGGGTACAATAACCTTTCACAAAAGGTTGAACTTTGATGATTTTGTGAGGACCCATATGAAGAATTTGTGTGGGCATAAACAAATTTCTAACAGTGGCAAGTTAGGGAGAAGGCTTTCGCTTGGTGAGTACAACCGAGCAGTGTCATGGTCTAAGTATCTCGTCTCTTCTGGGGCTGCCATAAAGGGAGAAGGAGAAGAGGAATGGAGTGCTGATATGTCTCAGTTGTTCTTTGGATCCAAATTTGCTTCTGGAAGACATAGCAGAATCTACAGAGGTGTTTATAAACAAAAGGATGTGGCAATTAAGCTTGTGAGTCAACCTGAGGAGGATGAGGACTTGGCTGCTTTTCTTGAGAAGCAATTCACTTCTGAAGTTTCTTTGCTCCTTCACTTGCGCCACCCAAATATCATTACTGTAAGTTCTTTTTTCAATATTTTGTTTTGGAGGAAACCCTCTTAGTGCACTAGATTGTATGAGTTCAGTGTTTTAGCTTATAAAATTTTAAAAATCTTTTATTAGTCCTTCCTCACTTAACGAAAAAGGTGTTATTTTATTTTTTACTAATATATACCAAAAGAGATTAAACTAAGTAGTATTTTGTAAAGTTAAGATTAATAAAAGATTTTTAAAATTTTAAAGACCGAAGTAATGAGGAATACAATTTCAGAGACTAATCTATGGGGTTACCCAAAATTTGCTTGTTTGATTGTTTTGTCGTTGCATCTGACTTTTTATTTTTCCCTGTTGTTGTTGCATGTGATATGAGCCTTATGAGGAATAATTTTCTTGCTGTCGTTAAAAGGAATGTATTATAAGCTTTGGTGTGGTGTGGAAGATGACGGATTATATATTGTAGTCTAAATGTCAAGTTATTGTATATTCACTTTTTTATGATAGCTTCTTTACCCCTTTAGTTCTTTTGATGATTCAATGGTAAAACCGTTATTATCTTGCTACTAACTAGGTATTGTGAAATTTCGTGAAGGAACTAGGAAGAACCAAAAAGCGAAAACAATTTATGTGCAAAATGAAGTTATGGGTTAAATATGGATTTACTACATTTGTTGCTGTTATTCGCAAATAGATTAGTTGGAAAAAGTGATTCAAGAAGCTTGTGCTTATGAAGTTAAAATTGCCAAAGGAGCTTCCAATGTCTATTGTGCATCATTCAATTCTATTGGTGCATGTGAAACTGAACATAAGAGCTGAGATTCGTCTTTAATAGGCTATTTCTTTAGCGTGTCATTTACCCTTTCACCCCAATCATTCCACTGTCCTGTGGTTGTTGTTGATGATCGAGTATTGAGTATTAGAAGTTTGTGTGAGGTAAGTGTTGTAACTGGTTAATTCCTTCTGTTGAAAGTTGATAATATGGCATTGTGGCCTAGTACACTAAGAGCAATTATATCAGGGAAACTCATCTCAGTTATTTTACTCTCTTTTACTTCCGTGTATATGGTCCCTCTTTTAGTTTTGCAACCGTTGCTTCTACAAGCAACTTTTCTTCTATCTATGCAACTCTCTCCCTCTCCAATTTTAATAGTGATACAAGCTACGCAACATTTGCTTAAAAATAAGCAACTTGCGATAAAACTGGTCTAAAAGTGGTTAATGCTGGGAGAGAGTTGCGTTTGTTAAAGAGAAGAAAATATTTTGAATGTAAAATTTGTGCTGCCGAATGATTGAGAAAGTAAAAATTTCTCAGCAGCTATTGACATTTATTGATCCTGCAGTTTATTGCTGCTTGCAAGAAACCTCCAGTCTTTTGCATAATTACTGAATATTTGGCTGGGGGTTCACTGGGAAAATTCCTGCATCACAATCGACCGCGTTTGCTTCCACTCAAACTTGTTCTGAAATTAGCCCTTGACATTGCAAGGGGAATGCAATATCTTCATACTCAGGGGATACTTCATAGGGATCTCAAATCAGAGAATCTCCTTCTGGGGGAAGATATGTGTGTGAAAGTAGCAGATTTTGGTATCTCATGCTTAGAATCTCAATGTGGCAGTGCAAAAGGATTCACTGGAACTTACCGTTGGATGGCGCCTGAAATGATCAAAGAAAAGCAGCATACCAAGAAAGTAGATGTCTATAGTTTTGGCATAGTTCTATGGGAACTATTAACGGGACGAACACCATTTGACAATATGACAGCAGAGCAGGCAGCATTTGCAGTTTCCCACAAGGTTTGCGTCAGAATTTACTTAATTTTATGCTGCATATTCTTCTTGTATTTTAGAACGAAATTGAATTGCTCGGTTGCATGGATATGTCTATAATGATTAATCTACATGTTTACCTCAAAAACTTGTGTGATTTATGGGGATATGGATCCTCTCATCTTGATGAGTAACATGATATGATCATGGTTGAGAAAGAAAGATACATTTCTTATGAAATTTAATTACTTGGTCCTACAGCCAATTATGGTGGGTCCTTGTTTGATAAAAAAATACATTTTTCTTTCTCCAACATAACCATATCATGTTACTTAACAACATCTAAGGATCCAAATTCGATTTATGGTATGCGCATAGAGGTAATGTTTGTTTTAAAGTTGAAAAATCAATTCTCACACTTTCTCATCAAAGATACATCTGTCAACGGTAATAGGTAATTCAAATCAATTTAGGCACACATTTCAATTACATTCAACAGTTCAAATTAATTTTATAAAAATTAATTCTATCTAGCTTCGAACCAAATTGGCACTAAGTCTACAGAAAATTGCCTTGCCTCTCATTGTTTTATAATTTTATGTGTTTGTAGCATAAAAGTTGCATTACTAAATCATTAAACTAGAGACTCTAGACATATTTTGGTATCACTAAAATTTATGAATCTAGCTTGCATATGATGTACTATTATTTTTAACTAAAGACAGTCTCCTTTTATTTCTAATTCATCCCAAAATTACAGTTACACTGGTTTGTGGTTATCTGTCAAAGGTGAAAACAACTGAGTGCCAAATCAAATATTTTGTTAATTTAATCGATGCTGTTGGAGATATCAATCCAGTTTAGTGAGCTAGAATAAGAAAAAATTTAGAAAGAAGAACAACAACAAATCAAAAGAGCAAGATATGAAATGCTATTTTATGAAAGTGAATGTTGTCAATTTAGCACTATGGGAATACTATTGAGGATCTATATCGTTCTCAATTCATTCAGAAACTATTTCTCAACAGGAACACTTTGCTATTGTATTATTTGCATGTAGAAGGCAATATGGGAATGCATAATTGTCTATGTAAAGTTGTTATTGTTCCTCACACTTCATTTTATATTTTATCCCTGTATATCCGTGAACTACTTTGGTCACTATTGTTATATGGTGTCAAAATCATTTTTTTAATATATGTCGTATGCATTCATACGTTTGAGTTTTCGTTTTCATTATCTACTTTTTATGTCTGTATGCATGCATTTGACCAACCCATTTTGATGGTTAACGTGCCCCGTATCTTTCTAAAACGTGTGTGCGACGTGGGCAACAATCATTCTATGTCTATGATTTTTCCATAGCATGTGGTTATGTTTGTGATATGATAGCATTGCTTATCAAAGCTAGGCACCTCATCTCAACAATATTGAATTCAATTAAATTACATGTTTCTTTATTTTGCCTGACATTTCTATGATGGTTACTTTTCCAACATTCAGGATATGGTATATGATATAACGTTATTTATGAAAATCAATGATTGTTACCACCCCTGCTTCCCTGTCACATGCACAGAACATCAGAACAAGGTGCCATATAATTGAGTCACTAATTGCAAGAAATATATATCTTGTCCAGTCTAACTTTTCTCGTTCACTGTCTTTACACATGCAGCAATATCCGAGAGATATACCTTGAATCTTGGGTTATAAAAATATGAATCCTTATTTATAAAAAATACTAAAAAATTATACGCCACCGGTAGGTTTCTATTTTGTCATAGGTATGTCCTAAGCACGGTACTTCTGAAACTCAGCCATATGGCTTCATATATATGTTCTGGAAATGTTTCATAAATTAGTTCTGCTAGCTTTATGAGTTTTACAACTATGAGTGCTTCTTTGAGTAAATCTTATTGAGATTGTATTGGTCGGATATTTTAGTATTTTAAGATTTTAAAACTCCTTGTTAGTCTTGACTATCTAAAGCAACTTTTACTTAAGTCATTTTTAGTACAAAAATAGAGAAAAATGAAGCAAGAAAAAAGACAAAAACGAATAATTTTGTACAAATTGAAGATAATGAAGTTTTAAAAAATTTAGAAAACAAAAAGAATGATGTACTTTATTCTGAAACTCAAATTGGTGAATTTGATTTTGTGTAGAACGCAAGACCACCAATGCCAGCTGAGTGTCCTTGGGCATTTCGTGATCTGATAAATAGATGCTGGTCAAGCAACCCAGATAAAAGGCCACATTTTGATGAGATAGTTTCCATTTTGGAGTACTATAGCGAATCACTCGAGCAGGATCCAGACTTTTTCACAACATACAAACCGAGTCCTTCTCCAAGTAGTACTAATGCAATTTTGGGATGCCTCCCAAAATGCAATTCTCGCAATAAATTTGGTACTTGCAAAGCTTAGTAATAGATGCTACTTGTGAAGCAATAGGTGTTTTTCAATTGTGTGACGTGGAGAATTGTGTTATACTCAATCCCATGATCCAAAAATATGTTCCAGACTTCCTTTTAATTACCTCTTTTTATGAAGAAAAAAGATCAAGTGTTAAAACAATTGTTCCACCCGTCAATTCTTTTTATTGCTATCCATAAAAATATCAATTATAAATGGCTAACTGTGTCTTCCATTTCTAAGTTTCACCCTTGACCTACGTAGTTATGGTAAAAGTAAAAAAAAAAAACGTATATAGGAGAATTATAATTATTTGTGAAATGAAGCAACGCTCACTATTGTAATAACGTGGTTATTTGCATGCATTTAAAAAGGCTTTTATTGGACCCTATTGGATTCTTATAGTCTTAGGCTTGTCAAGGTCAATTACTACATTTTGAGTTGAGTTTGGGTCTTGAGTTTAGGCTACCGTCCATTAGTCCAAGTTTTCAAAAATGAAATCTTTCATTTATTGAACATTTAAGATAGGCCACCATAAGTTTTTATAAGCCTTTTAATTAATTTCAAACTTCTGAGGTCAATGTTTGAAGCTTCACTGTTGGTCCCAGAGGAATTTCAAACTTGACAAAGTTTGAAGCTTCATTCCTTTGCTAAAGCTTCTCATGAAATTTTGTTCACGGTGACTTGCTGGATTTTGTGGAAAGCTCGCAATACCTTAATATGGATGATATTACTCACATAACAATTTTCTCAAAAACTGAGAACTGAAAGATTGGTTGCTTGAATATCTCCATTAGACACTGACCCTGTTTGTTTAAACTTTTTAAAAAACTTTTATAGGAAAAAAAATCAATAGAAAATGAATCAAGTTTTTTTTATAAGTTAAAAACAACTTATACTTCTATGTTCTTTTAAAAGCTCTCTAAAAATTTATTACTCCTATTGGTCACTTAAAATTGTTTTAGATAACATAAAAATTTAACAGTCAAATCCTTCTTGTTTAATGTTTAAGGGGACAATAAATGAGATTCTTCATTTTATGCTATTTGTTAATGAATATAATTATCTCCAACCACGTTGAAGCAACTAACAATGATATTTTAAATGATTGAAGAATTATATTAACAGTAATTTATTAAAAAGTTAAAATATTATATTTACGTGCTCATTCTGGTGGATTTGTAGAAATTAAAAATAATTTGTTTCTTCAAATTTTAGAAAAATTTAAAAAAGTAACTTCGTAAAAAAAAAAGAAGTTAATTTTAATTTACGAAAAAAACTTAATTATTTTTTATATTATTCTTTTTTTTACAGTAATTTATTCATGAGCTTATCCAAATTGGGGTTTAATTTCTTTTAATAGAAAGTAAATAGAATATTTACTTGCATAAAACATTGACAACGATATTAAACTGAAATGTCGTTTTATATATACTTGCTCTTATGCTTTTGTCCTTCTGAAAAATGAAGAAAAAGTGAACGAGTTTTAATAAGATTCTAATAAAATGTCACGGGCGTACTAGGTGGTAACTGCCACTGCCTTTACAGAGAGTACTTTTGCCTTTCTATGCTTTAAGCTCTCCCCACAATAATTTTTGAGAAATGTTATTCTTATAATAATGCTATTGTATTTTTTTATAATTAATTTAATGAGTAATGTGATGAAAAAGGATTAAAAAAATTTTTATTATAAAAATTTGTCGTTAAAATAATATGTCTCATGATTTTTTGGTACCATCTACCTTTCAGCTGATTTTTAGGTTACATTACCCATCTTCTCAGCTTTACTAATTCCACTTTTTACTGTATGCATTTTTTTTCCAATTTTTTTAAAAATAATAAAACACCAGCTTTAAGTTATTTTCTCAGACCACCTTATAACTTTCACTTAATTCCACTTTTTTACTTCAAAAAATCTCACTAACTAATGCTCTAAAAGTAATAGTTAAGAAATAATTTTTTTGTTAAAAATAATGTTAAAAATTACGTTAAAAAGTATATTAATGATACTTTTTAATAAAATTTTTATTTTATTCTTCAATCAGTGGTGGTACCTTTAGACATTGATTAAAGAAATACACATATATATATATTTGTTAAAAATATGATTAATATATTTTTACCATTATTTTTAACACATTTTAAATGTATTTATAATAAAATTTTATACTTTTTAAAATCATTTTTTATTATAAAATTTATGTTTTTAAAATAATTTTTTTAACATTAATCTGTAGAAAAAATTTTAAGCATTTACAAATTATAATATTTTATTAAAAATATTATTTATTATATTTTTAATAGGTTTGATGTGATAAATATTTATTTTTTAATAAAATTTTATTATTTTAAATGTTTAAAATTAATTCAAGAACTAATATTAATAATTTTAATAAAAAAACTAAAAAAATTAAATTTAACTATTTTTATTAATATTTTATAATATATATTTTTTTTAAAAAAAACGAGTCTATTGATAGTTACAACAACTTTTCCTTTTCGTCAAATGTTAATATTAAGATATAAATTTGTCTCATCTAATTAAAGTGAAAGAATATATAAAATAAAAAACATTTATTTATTATTAATTTTAAGTTAATTGTATCTATAAAATATTTTAATTTAGATAAAATCCCACTTTCTCACTTACACATTATTTCACTTTTAGTTAATTTATTTGCAGTTCTACAAATAGGAACTCACGCTTTAAGATAAAAGTTTAAAATAGTTATTCACATAAAATTTATACAAACTATGTACCTACTATTTGACACTAACCTTACTCTTATGGTTATAGTTTACAGGTTTTGATGTAATTTTACCCATCTTTAACGGAGTAATATTACATCATATATCATTTACTTTTACACATAGTTTATGCAGATTAAATTGAATCAAATATAATTTTAATCTTAATAAAATTATTAAAATGATGATCTATTTTACAAAAAAAGTTAATTAACTTGAAAGCTTATTTCGACGTAAAAAAAATTGTAATCTCACATATTATATAAAAATTGTCATCCACATAATTTGTTTAAAATTTTTTTGGAAACAAAGTATTGGAGGGAAAAAGAGAACATGAACTTTTTATTTTATTTTAAGCAAATACATTCAATTAATAAAATTTTTAAAATAAACGATATTTAATAACTTAAAAAATGAAATATAGATATAATGTATTATTAATTTATATAAATCCAAAAATAAAAAAAAATAATTTAATAAAATAAACTAATGTTTTATTACATTGTATAGATATTATTTATTATTTTTATCTAAATATTTTATATATTTTTATTAATTCATTCAAATCATTAGCAAGTTGTACACAAAATAATAGCACGTCAAATTTTTTTATATTTTATAAATTATTAAATGAGATTTTTACGTTAAAAAAGGTAATTTAAATAATTAAAAAAACTAAATATAAACAATTTAAATTAAGATTAGTAAAATTGTAGGTAATTATTAAAAAACGAGAATTAAAAGTAGACTGAAGCCTTTTGTTATGAAAAAGAAAAAAGCAGAGTGCAGTCTTACCGGACAACGTAGGTCCTGAAAGTTTAGTGAGTGAAAGATTATAAGCAAGACTCGTGGTTCGCGAGACTTGACATGTCTCTATCTCCATAATAAAAACAGGTTAATTTGATGATAATAACTGCAAGAATTCTAGCCTTAAAAAATGTTTAATTTGTGTGCCTTTAGGTGAGCAACTTCACAGCATGTAGGTGAGTTTGAGACTATGGTTGTTGGAGACGAAGAGAAGAAACAAAACAAAATAAAAATTATATTATTTGAGTGAATAAAAAAATGTAATAAAAAGTTAAAAATTTTAAAAGCATCGTAACCCTCCCTTGCACTTGTCCTCTCTCGTCTACTGTGGCGCATTTCCAAATCCTAGAGGAACGATGCTAATTACTTTATATTATGAGTTTTAAAAAGATGATTAATAGAAACATGAACTGTATGACTTATTTACAGTAATATGACTATTCAAAAAAGTATTATAGTAATTTTTTTACAGTCAAATTTGTAGAAGAAAAAATAAGCATAAAATTGCAATGTGAACAATAAAGTGGTATGCACGAACAATTAAATGTTACAAGACATGCTGGCATTACGATGTATTCAAGTACTTCGGCTGCATGAACAATGTTGTAAAAAAATTTGACTTTTAATAAAGACTAGAGAATCTTTGACCAATGAACCTTTAAAGTGAGGTTACATCAACTTGACCTATGAAAAATTGACTATGACATTATTTTGACTAACATAGAGAATTTCATGTGAACATCCTATCAAGTTGCAGCTAAGGCAAACTTTGTCAAGCTTCTAAAATTCGTCACTGACAAATTTTTGTACCTATAAATATGTGTTGAAAAAGATTATGAAGGCGCCAGTTAAAAAAAGAAAAGAAAAAAATCAATGTTCTGAATTAGAAGAAGAATGAGACTAATGAAGCTGAGAGAAGGAGGTTTAATTTTTTCTGAAAAAAAACACTAACACTGGTTCATAATGTAACGATTGATTCATGAAAGCATGTTTCAGAATCAATACGTAACTATTATGCAAGTATATGTATTATTTTATTTATATTATAGTTTTGATGTTATTTTTTAATTAATGTAAGTTAATACTATTCTTTATAATATACAAACTAAAATTGTTGATTAGTAAACGTGTATTTTAAAGTAGATTATAATCACTTTGTGTTTCTTACAATTTTCAATTTTTAATTAGTGTTATTTAATTACTTATCCTTAGTTTAATTATTAATTTAAATGAAATTCTAATATATAATAATGCTAAAATGAATTCTTATATTTAATATTTAATTAATTAAAAAATTTATTCTATATAGTAATTATTTAATTTGATTACGTTATAATTAATTAAAATAGTCTGATTAAAAATTTAATTTATTTGGTTATAACAGGTGATGAGAGTGTTAGAATCTCGTCACTTGTCAATATTGCTACCCAGACTTAAAATAAATGATACGTTAAATTTGTTTGTGTTGCGCAAATTTGTCAAATACAAATAAATAATAGCCTTGTAAATGTACTTATTGAACATTAGAAGCTTAGAAACACACACATTTCATCTTTCTTATGGA